TTCTAGCACCAACTTGAGGCTTATGTCTTCCTTTACTTTGCAGGGGTTTTCCACCCTGCCCTTTTATCATCACAATATCCCAACGTAGTAGGTTTTGCTGAGCGGTGGCAACTGTTCCAAGGTCACCCAGCAAGCTTCATGGCTGAGTAGTTACAAACCCAGATTTCCCCAATTCCAGTCCAACACTTGATAGCTATTGTACTCAAGACTCTTTACAAAGGCCACACTTGGGCACAATGCTAAGCCACAAACCATGGTTAAGTAAATTGAGTCTGTGCATGAAGTGTGAGCTTGTGCATGCAGCTTGAGTGCTCTCCCCGCCCCCCCCCCCATTCCCCATTTCCTCCAATGCAGAAACAAACCATGGAGGGGCTAGTTTAGCAGCACATCTGAACCAGCACTTGTGGTTTATTTCTCTCAAACGCATGCAACTGGGAACAAACCATAGCTTCCGATCAGTGCTGGATTTACGTATAAGCTAAACAAGCTATAGCTTAGGGCCCCACTCTCTTGGGCCCCCCCAAAAAAAATTAAAGGAAAAAACTGGATGTATATTTCCAAAATATAAGATAAAAAACAAATAAAATGGCTTTAGATACCTATTAGGTCCATAAATTACTATATAGCATATATTCAACACAAAAAACAGTGACAATTTGTTGTTGACAAAGGACAGCTGGACATATAAAGGGCCCCATTACTTTCAGTTACTTTCATCAAACCTAAATCCACCCCTGCTTCTGATCTGCCTTGGCTGAAGTAGAACAAACCACAAGTGCTAATTCAGACATAAATGCTAGAAAAGTTTAGGATTTGTTTCCCTGCCGGAAGAATGGAAGAGGAGGAAAGTAGGGCAATTTGCATTGCATACCGAAACACATATGCAGGTACATTTGCTTATCCATGGTAGAGGGCTTAGCACTGTGCCCAAACAATCCCCAAAACTCCAGTGCTGACACATCAGAATTAGGGTGGCTTCTTGTGTTAAATTTTGTACTTGGAGTGGATAACCAAGAACAAAATAGATTTGTGTACTAGGCTGGGTGGCAAACCGAAGCACAAGTGTCCCATGAAGATCGTACTGAAGTGAGCATCCAATTCTTGGTGTTTGCTGCTTCCAAGGTGCTTCAAACAGAAAAGAAATAGTTCACCTACTTATGAGACCTTCAATGTAAGACATGGAGTACAGTGGTACCTTGGTTTAAGAACAACCCTGTTTACAAACTATTTGGTTTACGAATTCCGCAAAATTGGAAGAAGTGTCACGGTTTGCGAACTTTACCTCAGTCTAAGAACGGAAGCCAAACAGTGGAAGGGCACTGGTGGCAGGAGGCCTCGTTAGGGAAAGCACGCCTCGGTTTAAGAACGGTTTCCGTTTAAGAACGAACTTCAGGAACAGATTAAGTTCGTAAACTGAGGTACCACTGTATGTCTTTTCTGTACCCAACCAAAACAAGCAGTTGCCCTGAAGCTCACAATTCTTAGCAGTGTAGAACGGCTCCCTCATGAACAGTCAGAAGCAAACAGCGGTTGTTTTATTTTGTGCGTTTGATTTGCACAGGGTCTGACCATTGCACCAGACTTGCTGTTAAGTGCCATCTTAAATATAAGCTGCTATTCCAAATAAAGTACTTAACATTTCAACACTTGCTGATCTAACTTTCAGATGAAATGAAAAATTTGATAGCTATCAGATGTTTGACAAAACATTCCCTGAACCTCCCACTGAAGTCATACACCATGGATTCCATTCTGTGGCTGTTGACACCCCAGACCTATGATTCACTGCATGCTTTGATCAACGCATGCTTGAATCAGCATCCTTGAAACTCTCTCTGGGGAATGTGCTGTATCGCCAGCTTCCAGCACATCTGTATAAAGCAAGAGTCATCTTGAAATAAGATGACATGAAGTTCAGTTTCCAATTACTAAATGAAGTCTGTAGTACGCTGTGACAGGCTTTTCCAAGCATAACAGATACTTCAGTGGCTTGCATAATTAATTATATAAGCTGATAACTATGGCTTATTTGACTAAACCACAATATTTAACAAAGGCAGGCGGGAAAAGCCCCCAAGAGCCGCACACAAGCTCCGTGCGCTCTTGCGGGCTTTTCCACAGGAGGGAGAAGGGACTGACTGGCCGCATCAGTCCCTTCTCCCACCTCCCAGGAAAGCCAGGAAAGCCCTGCGCAGCGTCTCCCGGCAAGGAGAGGCTGCACGGGGCTAAAGGGGAAGGCAAAACAGCGAGCGGGATCCATCCCGCTCTCTGCCTTGCCTTCTTCCATAGCTGCGCGCAACCCCTCCGCAAGGAGAGGCTGCGCGGGGCTAAAGGGGAAGGCAAAACAGCGAGCGGGATCCATCCCGCTCGCTGCCTTGCCTTCTTCCATAGCTGCACGCAACCCCTCCGCAAGGAGAGGCTGCGCGGGGCTAAAGGGGAAGGCAAAACAGCGAGCGGGATCCATCCCGCTCGCTGCCTTGCCTTCTCCCATAGCTGCGCGCAAACCCCTCCGCAAGGAGAGGCTGCGCGGGGCTAAAGGGGAAGGCAAAACAGCGAGCGGGATCCATCCCGCTCGCTGCCTTGCCTTCTTCCATAGCTGCGTGCAACCCCTCCGCAAGGAGAGGCTGCACGGGGCTATGGCTTCTTTAGCCCTGTGCAGCGTCTCCTGGCAAGGAGAGGCTGCATGGGGCTAAAGGGGAAGCCAAAACTTGGCTTGCTCCATAGCTGCGCGCAACCCCTCCGGCAGGGAGAGGTTGTGTGCACCCTGTACACTGCTCTTTGGGGATGGGGGGGGAAGATTTTTTTCTTGATTTCCCCCCCTAAAAACTGGGTGCGCCCTATGGTCCGGTGCGCCCTATGGTGCGAAAAATACGGTAATTATTGTAATTTATATAGGGTTGTGCTAATCATGCTGGTTTTCTGACTGGGTCAGATATAGGGATTGTGAGGTTTGGAATCTATTAGGTAGGCTGTAAGTTCTTTTTAAAAGTAAAAACACTCACCAAAAAACAAAAGTTAGAAACAGAGCACTGTCTCAAGTACAGCTCTATAAAAATGGTGGATGTGCAATGCTGTGAAAAGCATATTGCATCTGTGATTACTATGGAAGTGTACAAGTTAGTATTTATTGTCTAGTCAATAGCTAGAGACTATGGTCTGGGTTCACCAGAACGTGAAAGATCTTAGCAAAGCTGGAACAAACAAAAAGAAAACACTGTGATATTCCTTGAGTAAGAGAGGCATTGAATCAAAAACTCATAATGATTCAAAGATGCCAAAAAAGGGTGTTATCTGCCCTTCACAAAATTTTGCAAAGAGAAATCACTAGTAGGAATTGTCATAAGTAGGAAACATTTTTATTATTTGGTGAACTGTGCTAAGTGTTATGGTCGTGCGAGAAGAGCTTGGGCCTGTGCATGCTGTACATTTCTGCTTAGTACAGTGGTACCTCGGGTTACATGCACTTCAGGTTATATACGCTTCAGGTTACAGATTCCGCTAACCCAGAAATATTACTTCAGGTTAAGAACTTTGCTTCAGGATGAGAACAGAAATCGTGCTCCAGATGCACAGCGGCAGCGGGAGGCCCCATTAGCTAAAGTGGTGCTTCAAGTTAAGAACAGTTTCAGGTTAAGAACAGACCTCCGGAACGAATTAAGTACTTAACCTGAGGTACCACTGTATATGCTTTAACACTGTGAAGGTTTCTCAACAGTCAGAGAAATGGACAGACTTCTGCAAACACTCCTCTGGCTTCCAGGGCAAGGTATGTGGATTACACCTATAAGCACCCATGTACAACAGGTTAGTATTACCACATGCCAGGCATGGACTCTTGCAGTGACGCAGCTGGGTCCCTGGTGGGCCCATTCAATCTGTCCAAAAGCTTTGCACACTAAGCACACAAAGATGGTAACCATTACTAATTAAAAAGCACCACCCTAACCAGCTCTTCCAATAAGATACCTTGTGTCAGTGCACAACTACATGGCAAATGGTACATCGAAGGTATATCCTGGGAGTTTCTTAGCTGTGGCGCTAACTCATGAATCTGGGCCCACTTCTATAATCAGCTAATAGCTTATAAAATATGATAAAACATAAGCCAAGCATATGACATTATGATAATACTCTTTATACACACAAGGTTAATACGCACTTTGCTACTGAGGTCAGAAACACCCAGGTTTTGCTTATTACTTTATAGTAACAACTACAGTGGTACCTCGGGTTACGAACTTAATTCGTTCTGGAGGTCTGTTCTTAACCTGAAACTGTTCTTAACCTGAGGTACCACTTTAGCTAATGGGGCCTCCTGCTGCTGCTGCTGCGCCACTGCTGCACGATTTCTGTTCTCATCCTGAAGCAAAGTTCTTAATTCAAGGTAATATTTCTGGTTAGCGGAGTCTGTAATCTGAAGCGTATGTAACCCGAAGTACCACTGTATCTAGAAAAATTAAAATGTATGCTTGCAAATGAGATCTGCAACCAAGTTTTGTAGTGTGGCGTGCTCTCTGTTCAGAATTCCAGCCTCTCCATTTCATTTTTCCTCTCCCACTCTAGATTTCCACCCGTTCCCCACTCCAACAATCAGCATTCCACGGCCAATGAGCATGCTCAGTCCTCACTGGGGTCATTATTGCCCCTCACCCTGGGCTGTGTTTCTTCTCCTGAGTAGTTTTTGTACTTCTGCAAACTGCAGTGTTCCCACAAGCCTGCTGATATATCCTTTTTGGTGCAGGCTTGACACTGGTTTGGCTACTTCAGCAATATCACTCACAGTATACATATATGCTGAAGCTAATCAAAAGCTTTCTATGGTGGGGCCAGAGAGAAGAATGAAAATATGAAGAGATGCTCCTCTAAAAATGTTAACCAAAAAAATCATCTGAGGAACGAACTTAAGATCAATTTACTCAGCATTTTATTTAAGTGTCAATGGTGGAATATTTGAAAACGTTACTTTACTACAGTCAAGCTCAAAATAATGCATTACCCACCTGCGGCTACTTTTCTTCTCCGTTTCCTTCTCTTTAGTTGGTTTTTGAGCTGCTAGATCAGCATCTTTCTTTAACTTCTTCACAATGCGTTCTTTCATTTGATACTTCTCATCACTATCAATTTCTTCATCTTCCTCACCATATGCACCCTCTTCCTGCCAAGCAAATAGGCTGGTTTGATAAAATATCCGTTCACTGCTCTTCATACACATGACAACTTCAGTTCATCACAGGAAGAGTATTTCAAAGACAATAGACATTGGAGAACATAACTGTCTAAAACAATGAGATACTTACATGAAGAAAAGAGATTTCTAATCATTTTATGCTCTCCTCAAGAAGTAGTTAAAACTCCTGTTCTATATTATTATTATTATTATTATTATTACTCATTATTATTATTCATTATTGTTGTTATTCTATCTTTTCTCCAAGGGGCTAGAGGTAGCAAATGAGTACATGGTTTCACCATCTCCCCATTTTATTCTCCCAATAACCCTCTGAGGTAGGTTAGGCTGAGAGACAGTGATTGGCTAAAGGTCACCCAGTGAGCTTCATGGAGCAGTGGGGATTCGAGCCCTGGTCTCCTAGGATCTAGTAGAACCACTACACTCCAGTTTTTTTAATGTGACAGAATATGGTTTCCTCTTCTCCAGCATACTCGAACCAAGCTGGTTCAAAGCAGCATTTTTCTTTCATTTTCCACATCACTATCATCTCATTTTATTCCTCAGCACTGTGCAGATATCCAGATTACAGTATATACAAAGTTGGAGAGCATGATTGTATTCGTGCACCATCCCACTCAACATCTGTGGGGTATAATTTATGCCTGTGGCCCATATGCAAAAGGGGAGCCCAATGCTGAAAGGCCAAATCCACAGGACCTACACACCGCAAGATCTAGATGTGAAGGACCTACATTCACAGAGGCATTTCCAGACTAGTATTTGGTTTTTGATGGTCATTTATGTAACATGTCATTGGTGCGTTAGTAATGAATTTATAGAGAACTTGTACGCACAGCATTCTGGGACTGAAACTGCCTTGGTCGCACTGGTTGATGATCTCCGGCGGGTTAGGGACAAAGGTGAGAGCTGTTTCCTAGTTCTGCTGGATCTCTCAGCGGCGTTTGATACCATCGACCATAACATCCTTCTGGACCGTCTTCAGGGGCTGGGAGCTGGAGGCACTGTCATACAGTGGTTCCGCTCCTTCCTCCTGGGCCGTGTTCAGAAAGTGGTGGTGGGGGATGAGTGTTCAGACCCCTGGGCTCTCACTTGTGGGGTGCCTCAGGGTTCTGTCCTCTCCCCCATGCTTTTCAACATTTACATGCAGCCGCTGGGAGAGATCATCAGGAGGTTTGGGCTGGGTGTTTATCAGTATGCGGATGATACCCAGCTCTACCTCTCTTTTAAATCAGAACCAGTGAGGGCGGTGAAGGTCCTGTGTGAGTGTCTGGAGGCGGTTGGAGGATGGATGGCGGCTAACAGATTGAGGTTGAATCCTGACAAGACAGAAGTACTGTTTTTGGGGGACAGGAGGCGGGCAGGTGTGGAGGATTCCCTGGTCCTGAATGGGGTAACTGTGCCCCTGAAGGACCAGGTGCGCAGCCTGGGAGTCATTTTGGACTCACAGCTGTCCATGGAGGCACAGGTCAAATCTACGTGGGGCTACCTTTGAAGGTGACTCGGAAACTACAACTAATCCAGAATGCGGCAGCTAGACTGGTGACTGGGGGCGGCCGCCGAGACCACATAACACCGGTCTTGAAAGACCTACATTGGCTCCCAGTACGTTTCCGAGCACAATTCAAAGTGTTGGTGCTGACCTTTAAAGCCCTAAACGGCCTTGGTCCAGTATATCTGAAGGAGCGTCTCCACCCCCATCGTTCTGCCCGGACACTGAGGTCCAGCGCCGAGGGCCTTCTGGCGGTCCCCTCACTGCGAGAAGCAAAGCTACAGGGAACCAGGCAGAGGGCCTTCTCGGTAGTGGCGCCCGCCCTGTGGAACGCCCTCCCGTCAGATGTCAAAGCAATAAACAACTACCTGACATTCAGAAGACATCTGAAGGCAGCCCTGTTCAGGGAAGTTTTTAACGTGTGATATTTTACTGTATTTTTGGTTTCTATGGAAGCCGCCCAGAGTGGCTGGGGAGGCCCAACCAGATGGGCGGGGTATAAATAATAATTAATTAATTATTATTATTATTATTATTATTATTATTATTATGCTTTATTAGTTGTTCCGCAATGCTTCCCCAATGTTATCACTGTCTGGAGGGGCACTCTTATGCTAAAACAAAACAAAAGCCGGACAAAAGAACACCAACAACCCCAAAATATCTGTGATATGAAAAGTTAACAGGTTTTCAGTAGGAAGCTACAGGACATCTGTATTGGATGCTTTAGTTGAGATTCCTGCATTGCAGGGGGTTGGACTGGATGACCCTCAGGGTCCCTTCAAACTCTACAATTCTATGATTCTATGACATGCACCAACTGGAAACGAAGCTGTATGCCCGCCCTGTAACTTTTGAAGGCGCGAACAGTATTGAAAGCCCTGCTACTATAATGAGCTTAGGCGCCAATACTTTGGCCACCTGATGAGAAGAGAAGAGTCCCTGGAAAAGACCCTGATGTTGGGAAAGACGGAGGGCACAAGGAGAAGGGGGCGACAGAGGACGAGATGGTTGGACAGTGTTCTCGAAGCTACCAGCATGAGTCTGACCAAACTGCGGTAGGCAGTGGAAGGCAGGAGTGCCTGGCGTGCTCTGGTCCATGGGGTCACGAAGAGTCGGACACGACTAAACAACAACTATAATGAGCACAAATTAACATGAATGCACAATAAAAAGGACACCTGGAGGTCCATCTCATCAGAGTGAGTGGCAAAGCATTAGAGGGATGGGACAGCACAGCCCCCATTCTTCACTATGTGTAAAATTTGAGCATCTGTATACGGTTCTTCTCCACTGGGTAATTTTAGTTTAAACCATTTTTGTGCTGTGTACTTCGCATGGACTCAAAGCAGCAAACGTCAACAGAAGGTGCTTGTTTTGACCTAAAGGAATCACCCACACCCAGAACCACTGTCCTGGTGGCAACATGTATAAGCTTCAGTGTGTGACTTTCCTGAGAATATTACAACTTCACAGCAAAATGGGCTCCCTATTGAAGTAGAAATGCTACTCACCTCATCCGAGATATCACTGTCATCTGCTTTTTCACTGAAAGGAAATGCAACTTATGTAAGTAGATTCTTCTCTAACGTTACTTGAATTAGCTTAATGAAATAAAAAATGAGTTTAAAAGTACACAGGTAGAGATGCAAACTTTTTTAAAAACAACAACATTGAGTTCCACACATCTACATTGCATACCTTGCATACAAAGCAGGGGCAGAAAAAAGGTCTAGGGATAGCCCCCTAGATCTAAAAAGCAAGAGTTAGGCAAGTGGACAGGTAGTTGTGAGTTTACGGTAAAGAGATCCAGCCTCCCCCATAGTTGCTGATTAGCAAGTAGTATATTAACCTTTCAATGGCAGGTACTGAGCTCAGATGCGGATCGTCTTTCAGCAAGTCGTGACTGCTTTTGCTTTTTCCTTTCATATTCTAAAAAAGAAGAGGATGATGAGATGCAGAACAGTGAGTAGGGGGGTGGAAAGGGGTCAGGGGGAGAGGAATCACTGTTTTAACCTCACACAAGCTAACTGAAAAAATATAGCATCACTCTCCTGTAAAACACATTTGTTCTTATCCTAAGAGGGTTTATAACAATTAATAAAAATCATACCATAACCAAACTACAAAAGATTAAAATCAAAACAGAATGACTGCAGTTAAATAAATTTCCAATATTGTTCATTGCAAATGTGCCCTGAAATGAAACAATTGTGTTGTGCTGCTTAAAAAACTGCAGTAAACTAGCAATGTAAACTCCCTTCCTCTGCTGGGGAGCAAGTTCCACAGTCTTGGTGCCACCACCAAGAAGGTCTTACCACACTTAAGTCACCACCTCAGACAGAGAGGGGGACATAAAATAAAGTTTCCCTACATGAGCTAAGGCAGAGATGCACAACCTTGTAGCCTTACAGATGTAGATGGACACTAGCTCCAATCAACCCCAGTCAGTACAGCCAAGAGTCAGGGGTGATGGGAACTGGGACTACAACACCTCGAGTGCCACAAATTCCCCATCCCTGAACTACATATATAAATGTGATCATGTAGGAAAAAAGTGGTTTGTAGGTATCAGGTACTAGACCATGCAGTGCTTATGGGGGGTCATATTCAATATAATCAGCACTTTGCATTGAGGCAGAAAACCAATCAAGAGCCAGTTGTGAAGGACCAATTCTCTAGCAGGAAAGTATTGCAATAATACATTTATAAGGATGCATGGTAAGCACATCCATCTCTATATTCATGTTTTATCTGAACTTGGCAGTGTCTTGTATCAAGAGTGATATGTTGGTTCACAAAGCTCTACCAAAGGGGTGGGGAACCTTCAGCTTGCAGGCCAAACGTGGCCTGCCAGAGGTTCAAAGTAGGCCTGAGAGACAGTTTCCCCCAAACCACCCCACCTGCCCCACACTTGATGTCATATGTAATATTAGATATGGGGCAGGTAGAGATGTGGCAGGCAATGCATCTTAAAGTGCGCTCCCCATGGGGCAAGGGAAGCAGGCTTTGGCTCAGCTGCTCATCATCCACAGGGGAACTTGCACATGGAGCTGATTCCTGCAGAAAGAAGGCTAGACCCAAAGCATCCTGGACTGGTTGTGTGTGGAGGAACAGCAGGAAGGTGGCTTTGAGTGATGGGTAGTAATCTGCAAGCCCTGCATGGTGCTCTGAAGTCCCAGTGCCTGGACTTCAAAGCACTCAATACCTGATGTCATGGTCATGTCAGGTGAACTGTCATGTGGACATTCTTGCCCACCCGTCAAATCTGGCCCCCAAGGCTGGGTTTGATAAGTATCTGGCCTACAGAGGCGAAAAGGCTCCCCACCCCTGCTCTGTAAGGTGAAGGTTCCAAGAGGAAAGTTAGTTATTCACAAATATAAACAAGCAAAGAAGCGTCCAAAAATGTATCATTAGCCTGTATCTATACCTGGCTAACTCTGTTGACTTCTACTTCTTCCTCTTCAGCTTCTTCTCCAAATGAAAGCAAGCTAAAATTCCTTTAAAAAAAGGGGGGGGGAACAGTATTATCTTATATAGATTGTTTTCCTAGAAATGACATTACAGAATACTTTTGAACAAAAGATCCCATTCAAAAGGACTAAAATGTATAGAGCTTTATTGCTTTAACTTCACAGGGTAATAAATAAGGGTTTGATTATTCAGTGGCGATATATAAATAGATCTTAGTTTTTCTTCACCATGTTAATATTGAGTTTGTGGAACCATCATAGGCTATAATTACTTTGTGCCCTTGGATTTTGCTTTCTTCGCTTCTTCAGCTGGTTTCTCATTCGTCAGCTTTTTACTGGTTCTCGGAATTATGTCATCAAAAGGATTAAATAAAACCTAGAAGAAAAATATTTCAGAAACCCTCTTTTAGGACTTCCCATTGTGATAAGTAATCCTGATTTTAAAACCATCCAATCGCTGCAGTAAAACAGACAGCAAAGAATTACAGCTCCAAGAGTTACAATGTACAAAACCACCACGCACCAAGACCCAGTTTGCACCACAGTTTAGCATAACATGCATGAGCTGGAACAAGCCTGAGGAAATCTCACACTGGATCAGATGCAGAACGCTATGGCATGAGGGAGAGGAGAAGGCATGTTCCCAGCTTTGCTGCCTGCAAACTTAACTTCCAAACCCTTCACAGCCTGGAACCCTAAACCCACTACATGGTCATCATCAGTTCAGGCCCTGCTCTGTAGAATCTTCACTAATTGTTCCACAAGTCTTGCATGACTCCCTGAATGAGTTCAGAAATTAAATCTCTCTGATGGCATTCAGACGGTTTCATCTACCGTACTTTTCTGTGTATAAGACTACTTTTTTTCTTTAAAAATCGTGCTTAAAAATGGGGGTCATCTTATACAAGGGGAGTGAATAGGGTGAACGTTTGATTGGTTGCTGCCCTGGCTGTTAGCGGCTACTGTGCATGTTATTGGTTGCTGCATCAATGGGTGGTATTGATTGGCTGGTGCTGCGGCAATTGGGCAGGCGATTGGCAGCCTCTGCCGGAGAGGGGAGAGACTACAGGCATATTTTGCAACGCATGCGGGTGAGTGATTTCTGGCAACCCCACCCCATCAAAAAAGATCAACAACTCTTGGGAACCCTCTACAAGAGAAACTCAACAACTCTGTGCCATCTCCCATTTTCTTAAATTTGAGTCCCCAAAAATTCACGGAAAAATACAGCATTCTGTATTGCCTTTGGCAGTAAAAATGAGTCACACTGCCATGGGCTACAGTCTGCATTAGCAGCCTATGGATTTTTGCTGAAATAGATTTCTTAATTATTGCCTTTTATGCTTTGTGTAATTTTAAGTATTTTATGGTTAAACAAGCTCCTGTGGCCTTAGCAAAAGCTGCAAAAACCCCAAATATGTGTCAGTCTTACAACCTTTAGCAACTGACGTAGTTCAATATCAACCTAAATTTTACTCAGAGTAGACATATTGAAATTAATAGACCCAACTTAATCATGTTCATCAATTTCAATAGGTCTGCTCTAATTAAAACATAGCTGAATACCACACACAGTCAATTCCAAAACTGCAGGTATTAAATATATGACTTTTAAAATGATATTACAAATAGCAGACACAGATGCATATTAATAGGCTAAAATAACTGTATAAAATACTCATTCTGATCACTGCTTTGAGATAAACAAAGATACGAATAAATTACATTTAATTGTAACAGTTTGAAGGCAATGAAAATATATATTTTAATCCATTTTAGACAACATTAAACCTACCTCAGTACTTTTTATTTTATGTGGGTTGAGTGGTCTTTCATCTGCATCTGTTTCAACCTCTGTAAGTCGTAACATGTTATATATGGTATCTCCAGTAATCTGTGAAATTAGAAGAGGGTTTTTTAAAGCTTAAATTATTTTCAAAGTACTTTCTGGATAGTTTTAGAAAGCTTGTATGTTTTCTGTTAAAAAGTCATTATCAGTTTGACAGCACATAAAATGAATTTATACTTTAGATCAATGTAGCCTTTTTCCACAGTGAGAAATGCAATCGGAAAAGGTGCAGAGTTTACAAACATACGGGTATCCCACGCCTGACGTAAGAGATATATATGCTAGGGCTAAGCCAAAACAAATGCATTTAAGGGGAGGATCTGTTCCCTGCCTTGCAGGCCTTTTTCCACATGGCCTAGGAGGGTGGGGCCCTGACTGACTCCAGCTACAAAAGCTGAGGCTGCTGAACACTTTGGGGTTGGGATATTGATTACAGGGGTTTGTTGCTGTTGTTGATATTCATTTTTAGTATCTTAATTTTTAGATCGTACGATTTATGTGGACATTGTTCAATCTGGATGTGTATCTTTTAGAAGTGTTTTATTTATTGCTTATGACTGCTTTTGTTATGTAAACCTTTTCATGCTGTCAGCTGCCTTGAACATGGCTTTAACTATGGAAACAAAGCGTACAAATAAAATTACGGTATTGTGATGAGGGTATCCAAACACCTAGCCCTCCCGCTCATCAGAGACTGCATTTGATGAGTTCTGACAGCTATTGGTGGATTTTCTTCGCCAAGGTTGCCCCCACAACCAAATTCAGGCAGACAAATAACAGGGCTTGGGACAGAAGTCTTTCAGACCTTTCCAAAGATGGTGTGCTTGTTGTTAAGTTCATCTGCCCGAGCCAAAGTAAAGAAGAACTGGCTGCCATTATCGTGAGGCCCGGCGTTTGCCATGGCAACCAGTCCCCGCCGAATAAAGCGCAACCGTGAGTGGAATTCATCCTGCAAATTAAAGAGGAAGAGCAATTAATGCACAAGTTTAATTTATTCTTGTTCATTCCACAGTTTGTCCGTTGATGCACCTCTGGAATACGATATCAAAAACACTGTTTACAGCCAAATCCCAAAGCAATAATCACTTTCATTATCGACAACAGCTTATCTTCCATGGAAAAACTAGATATCATTAACTAACACAATAAAAAAAAGTCCCAATTTTAAGGAGCTGTGATATAGATAAAAGTGGTGTCTTTTGGAAGAATGCAAATATTGAAAGTTACATCTGAAGTAACAAGTTCAAGAGGGTCTATCCGAGCTAGCAAGTAGGAGGAGCAGTTCTTAATTCTAGAAGAGCAACATAATTATTTGTTTCTTTTGGAAACTTTTTAAAAGCTTTCTCATGGTTATTTGTACTTATAGACAGGAAATCTTGAAAGATGAGGATCTGTTCTTCCTTCCAAGCTTGGCAATTAAGTCCCATCTTTTCATTCTATGAACAGCCTACATTTCACTACAATTGTTTAGAATGCCATTTTATATGCAGAGTTCTAAAAACGGACAGGAGCAATTATTATTATTATTATTATTATTATTATTATTATTATTATTTATTATTATGTTGCTTTCCTCACAAAAGTGACCCTAAATAACCCCAAACTTTGACCCAGATCTAGCCACAGGTTAGTCATTTTAGTCCTGCCAGTTTCAATAGGACTCAAATCTCATGTGCTCAAATAAAGGGAATTAAAGAAATAAAGGGAATTAAAAGTGATTAACTACGCAACCCTACACACTTTTACAAATCCCATCAAGTGCAATGGGGCCTACTGCAAGCTATGTGTGCATGGGGTAGGCAGCTAACTGTAGCTGGGACATTTATTAAATCTTAATCCATTTTAACCAAAGTTCAACAGCAGTGGAATAAGTGGACAATAAAACCCATTGAAAACAGAGGTTTACCTTAAAAGGGGCCCCATAGATAGATTCTCCTCCTGACCCAGTACCAGTTGGATCTCCTCCTTGCACTATAAACTCAGGTACAACCCTGTGAAATATTGTGTTGTTGTAATAACCTGAAAAGAAAACCGGCATTAGAGTAGCTAGCATGGACTGTATACCTTTCATTATAAACAGCATTCTGGTTTCTTACCAAAGTTTTATTCCTTCAAAATATCTCTCCTCTTAAAATTAGCTGCATATGTTAATTTTGAAGAAGCTAAAACCCAAACTACCAAAACCACTTAGTTCAGTACGAAATTTAAAAGTATTATCTTTAATACTGTTAATAAATTATGTTGTCCACAAATACAGTGGTACCTCGGTTTATAAACTTAATCCGTTCCGGAAGTCTGTTCTTAAACCAAATCTGTTCTTAAACCGAGGTGCGCTTTCCCTAATGAGTCCTCCCACCACTGGTGCCCTTCCGCCATTCGGCTTCCGTTCGTAGACTGAGGTAAAGTTTGCAAACCAGAACACTACTTCCGGTTTCGCGGAGTTTGTAAACTGAATAGTTCATTAACAGGACTGTTCGTAAACCGAGGTGCTACTGTATTGGCTTGGTTTACTAGCCAGCCTCTCTTAGTCCTCACTACCAGCTCTCCCCACTTTCTCTAGCACATGCACTCAGGACTTTGGGAAGAGGCTGAGGTTAGTTCATACTGCAGCAGAAAGGAGAGAAGGAAGGAAAGTGCAGGAGACTTGACTGCTGCTTTACCCCTTCTGCAAACTGCATCCCAAGTGAGGGAAACCCCAACTTGCCCACAAGCCCTCTGCTAATCTCAGAGGACTTGAGAGAGAGGCAGAGTCTTGCTTCAGTTGCATGGAAGTTTGGATAAGAAACAATGGAGGTGATTCCCGAGGTTCTCTGATCCTCCTTAAAACTAAAAAGAATCCTCTCTAAACCCCCTGAGCTTATCAGGTGACTTAAGGGGAAATTGAGGTCGTCTTTCACTTGCATGTAATTTTGGAGATCAAAGAAACATTCAGTGATTGTCCCGTTGTTTATTCCTCCATGCAAGAGAAATGGGTCCACTTCTATTAAGTGGTGTTACAAGTTGCAGAGTGCTTAGATGAAAAATGGATTTTCATTTGACTTGTAATGCAGTTTGGAGGAGAGGAGCAAATGTGGCCAGCTACATGAGGCAGAGACACTCGACTCTGGGGAGTGACACAGCAGATGCCTGCTGTTATCTTAAAATACTGTTTTCGTATCTTAAAATACTGTTTTTGTCTGTTTTTCTAACTATGACTCTTGGCTACCAATCAATATGACAGTGGCTGCATTTGGGCATCACGATAAACCGTGGTTTATTGTGCAAGGAATGAGCCCAGCCTGTCCCCTCCACTCTGCATGCTCACCATTCACATCACCTCTTCCAGCAAGCCACAAGGAGATTGGAAGTTTTTGCTTCTGATTTCAATTAACCACAGTGTACTGTTACACTCAAAACCTACACTGTGGTTTACATTAACTATGCTTTGTTGAAACAATCAGCATTAAACAAACTAGAGTTAACAGAAGACTGTTGGGTTCAGATGATCCGGCACACTGTCGTTAATTAAAGTCCTTCTCATGGTCACGCCATGGGAGAAACTTGCAAGCCAAGGGAGGCCCTAGACTAGTTCCCATCATGATAAATAGTGGAAAACTGCAACAGACTACAAACAGGTTTTTTAATGGTCCACACACACACACACCACTTTAAGGACTAGGCATTCCTGTAGATGTTTGGTGCTTTAAATTGCATGCACAACATAACTAGGTATTTTCTGTCTTAATCATTACCTTCCATGCAAAGCTGAATAAAGTTCCGACACGCTTTGGGGGCTTCCTTTGACCATAGCTCAATATCAATATCTCCAGCTGTCGTTTTCAATAAAACCTGTAGAAGAGCATATGTCTATTTTACAAATATATACAGTATGTGCTCCTAGAAAGTATGGTTTGCATTCTGCAGACTTAACTACTTTCCTGGCTGCCACTAGAAATACATCTTGCCTCAGAGTATTGTCTTAGAAACAAGAAAATGAGTAAGTTTTGTGTACAGGTAAAAGATTCTATTACAAGGAGTGGCAACAGTGCCCTTATGGTAGGGGTGGCACTGTATTCACAGGAATGGGGAGAGGTGCGGTTAGGCAAGCTCTGGGTTGGTGAAACTGACACCACACAGATGAGAGCACACATACAAATGCCATCACTAGCAACTTGGAGTTCTCCCACCCTTGCCCTCCCCTCAACCAACCCTATTCCAGCATTTAAAAAAACGAAGTGGTAATATAATGGGTGTGTTAGGATGCAACACTAATCAACTGTCTCTGGCAAGCATCCATGCATATATAGTAAACATAAATGCACAGGTTATTTAGCATGCTAGAATTAGCATATTAAGTTTTCAATTGTGTTGACAAACTGTAAAAGAGTCACATATATCAAGGAAGTCTTCAAATTTGTTTGACGATAGACTTGAACATTCTATTAACAGTGTGATCCTGTGCATGTCTACTCGGAAGGAGGTGCTGTGTAGCCATACACAAGACTGAACTGTAAGTGTGCTATATTTATTTTCCTACACCATATCAAATATCTCAGTACAAATTATTATGGCTTAGAGTAAAAAAGAGATATTGATATAGCACATTAACAAGGCATGCTTTTAAAAAATCTGTTTACCAAATATAAGTGTAACATGCTAAACTAGATCCCCATTGATTAAGGGGACAGAACATTTCATGCAACATTATCTAGAAAAAGGTTTTCCAATTCAAAGTAACCCCCTCCCAAACTCCACACTAAAGGGTCTAAGCACACACCTGCTGCTCAGTTTTCTTTATAAACTATATAAATCCATGTCAAGTTTGCTGAGCAGTGTACAGAGGAGCAATGGATAATGCCAGACCTATTCCAAACGACAGCTGCCCACCATTGCTCAATTTCTTCCACTAATCAACAGTCCCTCATACTAAAAGTGCACCTGATCCTTTCATTTTCTCCACCTGCTACAACATCAGCAGCCAGTCACTGATTATCTCCCATCTTGAGGCTACCTTCACCACCAGAAGACCCTTTCCTTTTTTAAAATATTAATCTTTGTTGATTTCGCACATAGACACAAATACAAAGATGACAAATCATACAAAGTAAAAGCAATAAAAATAGGAAAAAAATAAAGAAAATACAATATATTACAATTAAATAACAAGTTAAAATGTAAAACTTCCAATCATTCTCATTATACTGCTTATATGGTCTATATTTTCTTGCATAGGTTTATGTTATTTCATTTTTAAATAAATATATAATCTGATATGATATCTAATACACTTTTTGTTTACAAGCATCAGTCTAGTTCTGAAAGTATATTATTGTTTGTACAGTACGATTTTTGATATTCTCTAAATATTTTCCATTCTCCATATACTTTCTGGTTTGACACTCCTCTGACTCTTCCCGTCAGTTTTGCTAGTTGCAGGTATTCTATCATAAGAGTTTGCCACACTATAATCGTTGGTAAGGTTTCATTTTTCCAGTTTCTTGCCACTATTATTCTCGCTGCCGTGATTCCGTACATAAACAATGGTCTTATATATTTTTTGAATTCTATTGATAGTATTCCTAATAGGAAGATCTCTGGTCTTTTTTTAAATGTAAATTTAAATAGTTTTTAAGTTCACTATAGATGTTATTCCAAAATTCACGGATAGCTACACAGTTCCACCACATATGGAAATATGACCCTATATCCTTTTTACACCTCCAGCATGTTGGTGACCTGCCTTTATACATTTTAGCGAGTTTTAGGGGGAGTGTGGTGCCATCTGTATAGCATCTTCATCAGAAGACCCTTTCCAAGGACAGCAGCTACTCAGCTTTGGGGCTGAGCTGGCCTGGTGTTTGGAGTGCCAACCACAGGCAGCCCCTAATTCCCAAAGCTACATTTTGGTCAGAGGTTGGAAACAGAGTATCTCTTCACTTTCAGCTCTATTAATGTTCCAGACAAGCCAGTATTCCTTGATAAACAACATTAGAAAAGGAGGGTGGTGTCTGAGTCCCTTGAGCCCACCAAGCACAGAACAGAGCCTATTTTCACTTTTCCAATTTCCATTTTGACTTCTCCAATTTCTCAGAGAAGTAAACTCTCCTTAATCTGGAACACTGGGAAATGTGTGCACTGAGGACAATCTGGACCACATAGATAAACAAAAATACCATAGATTACATTAAATTTATCCTCACAGGTTGCATCCAAGTAGTTATAATTTACCAAAATTTCAGTATGAGAGAATGATTGCTCGTGTTACCCCCTCCCTAACCTTGCCATTCGTCGGCGGTTCCTGGATGTAGATGTTACTCATGGTGTGGGCTTGGACGCAGCTGGCTCACTGAGCGGCGGTCCCCGGACCCGGGAGAAGGCGGACGCACGGAACTCCGTTAAACGGGAATCCAGGGCGAAGCTCCCGCCATGTTGGAAGCCGGGAACTACCACTTCTACCCGAGGGGGGGGAAAACAGCGCTGAAAAGAAGGCAAGCTTCCCATCCGCACCCTCGAAGGCCAAACAAAAATCCCCCCGCCCACACAAACCTATTTCAAGAGCCTCTGAGCTAAAGCATCTGCTCCGCGAATGGAACTGTGCTGTTTCCTCTCAAAGCAGGGGAGGGGCATCCCCCCGCAGATCTGGGATACTGGTACAACCCGCTGTGTCCGGTACAAAGTCTTCCGGGCGGGTAACGGAGCCGCAACTGTTTCTGTCCGCCCTAGAACGGTGGAGATGGAAAAACTCTTACAGTATGCGTGGGATTAAAGAAAAGCCCTTTAAGTGTTTTTTCTTCTTCTTTAGCTACTGGGCTACTTTCATTCCGATTGACAAGGGCCAGAAGCGCTGCCAATCAACTAGGCAGCCCGCCTCCTTTGGCTAGGAGTGGCTCATAGGAAGGGGACTATCGCACTACTGCAGGGTTTCTGTGACAGTTGCGTGGCCTGGGACACCTTCGTCCGGGGATGAGCGAAGGGCCTCTCCTGTCAGCCTTCAGGCTTTTCCTCCGGGAATCAGAAATGGATTCCCTGTCTGCAGTTCCTTCACTTGTCTCCCTGGCAATATCGCCCCTCTTTCTCCTTCCTCCACCCCTCTTTTCTGCCTGATGGTACGCGCCACCCGTGCTCGGGTCAAAGTTTTCCGGCGGGGAAACGCTGCCATTGCTACCTCGTCCGGCCAAGAGCGGGGCATCGTGGCGTCACGGTCGGAGGCTGCATGGCGTTGCCAGGTGAGCGGTCCAAACGGGGTGGGGCGCGGAAGGGCCACGCGCGAGATCGTGGCCGTGTGGAAAGTCACCGCTGCTGCATCTCCTGCTGCTCAAACCGAGGACGAGGGGAAGAGCCCAACGTGCTCTCGAGTGGGAGGGAGTCCCGGGAAGCAGCTGCAGTCCTGTGCATGCCTACTCAGAAGTAGACCCTACTGAATTCAGTGGGATTTGCTCTGAAGTAAGTGGTCGGGAGTGCAGTTTGGGGATTAAATCCTGCCGAACCCAGTGGAGTTTCAGTTACAGATAGGTGGCCGTGTTGGTCTGCCATAGTCAAAACAAAAAAAATTCCTTCCAGTAGCACCTTAAAGACCAACTAAGTTAGTGTATCTGAAGAAGTGTGCATGCACACGAAAGCTCATGCCAAGAACTAACTTAGCTGGTCTTTAAGGTGCTACTGGAAGGAATTTTTTTTTTGTTTTGCCAGTGGAGTTTGTAAGAGTTGTGCTGTTAAGGGGCGGGACTCTTGCTCTGTCGGGGAGGGAATGTGTGCTAAAATGCGGAACTTTCTTAAACTGAACAGTCTTGTTTTTGCTTTGCATTCTTTACACACGCAAGAACTTCAGATGAAAGGTTTCAGTTGTGTAAATTTACCGGGCTTAGCTAAAAGAAATAATAATAGGAATTGGATTACGGTATCTGTATACTTCTTGCGGTTGTGATGTTTGTTTGTTTTTTAATGTGTAGTTTCACAGGGCCCGTTGTTCACCAAAAATCTAATCTGATCTCCAAGTGTTAAAAGAGGTACGAGCAGTGTTCTGCTGCTGTTATTGTAAAAAAAACCCTTAGGTGACAGTATTCATATCATGATAAATTGTAAAATGGCTCTCCCAGTACTTCCCTGTTCCTGCATGCCTCCCCGTTTCTACTGAATTTGTGATTCATTTTTAATAAAAAAGGGAGAGAAAATATGACTTAAAAGATAATAATTTCATTAGAGTTGGGAGGGGTGGATTCCTACAGTTGTAATATGGAGACTCAGGAGAGCCTTTGCCAGTCAGAGTACACAATACCAGGCAAGATGGATTTGGGATAAGGCAGCTTCCTATTGCTGTATACAGCAGGCCCCTCCTGCTGGATCACTCTGGCCATGTAAAGTTGTGCCCTATGAGAGGAAAGCGGCAAATGCCTGCTCCTAGACTAGTTGAACTTCTCTGATGCTACTGTGTCCAGGAAACATCAAGTGTCCTGCTGGATCAAGCTAGTGGCCAGCATTCTGTTCTCACAGTGGCCTTCCAGTTGCCTATGGAAAAGCCACAAGCAGGACCTGAGCTCAAGAGCACTTAGCCTTGCTGCGGTTTCCAGCACCTGGTCGACAGGAGAGGGGACAGGTGACACCTTGGATTAGTTGAGAGTTGATTTTAAGAACACACATGCAAAAGAAATTGCCTTCAAATGATTTTGAGCTGTCAGCAAATACATTCAGTCCTAGTAACTTTCTAGGAATTGATATGAGGAAAAAGCAAAAGTTTTTACTGAAGCCCTTTGAGGCAAACTTCTGCAAATATTTTTTTCCTTTATTTGACCCACACATAACTGAGAAATCACTCTTTGGCACTCCCCTGACTTAGACAAGGAAGAATAAATACTACTACCACCTGCATTTATTTACTTTGAGCATTCAGGTGCATGTAGATAAGAAAGTTAGCAAGAGGGGTCATGCTTGGGTTAGTGGTTGTTGGAATATGTCTGCTATTATTGACCCATTGGTTCTTGTCTCTGCCCCCCACCCTGGCTTTTCTCCAAGCTGGGCTTGCCTTTGGTTTAGGGTCCAATCAGGAGGGGTTGGGGAGTGACATCAAGGAAGAGGCAGGTGGGAAGGCACCTGTGGACAGATAAGTCTTTAGAACTACTCACATGCCTTTTTGCTTTAAACTTTGGGCTTCATATTTATATGTGATGGGGGCAGACCCAGTTTTAAAGAAGCAGGTCTGCAGCTGCTGCATCAAATTTGTACCACAATTGTCCGGAACCCAAGTGCGGACAGCATGTCAATCCACTTCTGGTCGGAAGTGCTAATGGGTTGCATGTTTCTCCCCGTGGTGGCACTGTTTACCAAAAAGGCACCATAACAATATAATGATGATTTTGATAATAGCATATTATCAAAGCATAATATAATTAGTTTCTTCTTATTAAGTGGGTGGAGTATTTGAATAAACAGTGACATAATGGATTTTAGAACTGTGCAAGATTTTAAAAGGGGGGCTGCAGAAATCCTTGCTTCTTATAAACTTGTGCAGATATTTGATTACAGAACTTCCTTTAGGAAAGGAAGAACATTTATTCCCCTTTCCTAGAATTTATAGTTGAGATGGAAAATCTATTTTTTTTAAACCAGAAGTAAGAACTAGTGCCTTCAGGGATGATGGGAGTTGTAGTCAAACAACATCTCACACTTGGTTTAGACTTTTTATTGATATCTCCCCACTAAAAATATATAAACAACAAAACAGAGGAGAAGAAAAACCAAGTTTACAAGCCCAAAATACAGTTCATGTTACAATGCTGTGTAAAAATACAACACAAATAATTGTTATGTCAAAACTTTGTGGGATATATCAAGTAAAGCTGAATGGTCCGTCTGCCAGAATTACATACCAAGTTTGAAAAGTTCAGTTTATCTTATTCCTTAGAAATTCTTATGGGCATGACAGTTGAGAATGATGAGAAAGTCCCATATTTATACCAGGATTTGATACTACATTTGTTTTGACATTTCCACTGTTTTAGTTTCTTTCCTTTGGAAATGTTGCACATACTAAACTAAGCAAAAGTGTATAATATAACAACAAAGCAATCTTCTTTGAGCATGGAGTATGATGTAGCAAACTGTTGTCCCAAGTTAGAAGTTCATATTAATATCCAACAGTTTGGCTTAAGTTGATTTAAATAAGTTCAACAACCACTATAAATATTATCTCACAAGGGACCAACATGGAGCCTCTAGATGTTGTTTACCTCCAACACTGATCAGCATAGCCAGTGACCAGGGATGATGCAAGCTAGAGTTCAGTAACACCTGGAGGTTGCTATAGGCTACCCCTGTATTTTCTGTATTTATTATTTATTTAGTTATTTGCGGGATTCATAGCCTGCTTTGGGGGAAATCCTCCACGAAGCAGCTTACAGTACAAATCCTATGCAATGCCTTCTTCCAAGAGAATAAGATCTTCTGTTTTTTCCTATAAGTGATACAATAGGATAATTAGAGATAATGGACATTTGATCCATTTTTATCCCAGGTAGAAATCCATTTACTGTATAAAGATTATTAATCATATTTCCAAGGTGAAAGTTTATTTTTAAATCTACCTTTTCTGTTGCATGCAGTAATAATTGAATAGTATGGATAAGCTGAGTGGAGTTGCTAAACCTCAGAATCTAGTTTGTACAGTAATTAGATTTTTTAAAATAAAATAAATAAGTATCCCAGTAGATGTTTTGTTTTGCTATTGCAATGGTTATTCAAAATGATCTGCAAAACCTTAATCAGCTCATTAGATATAAACATGGGGAGAGTTTTGAATTGAATTATCTTTTAAGTAATGGGCTATTTATGTACCTACCACCATCAGTACAATTCTGTTAATTTTATTTTGGCCCCTGCAGTTTCTATGGAAATGAATTCATTCAGCGGAGCTTTTTCATGCAAACTAGAGTGTTGCTTAGTTTGTATGTTAATTAGCTTATGTTCACCATTATATTATTTTGAGCTGCTGCCCTCTGGTTAACCTCCACAATATTACTAATCTCTAAAAGTGAAAACAAAAAGGAATATGAAATCCTGATATATTCCAAGCAATCTTCATGCATAAAGAAGCTTGTTGAATGTGTGCTAATATAGCCTTTGCAACCTAAGGAACAGCAATTTCAGGCAGGAGTAGACAGAGGCTTAGCTGTTAACTTTAACTCAGGTTTCCTTGAATCTTATGGCAGTTCTTGGTCAAGCAGAACCCACCAGGTTCACCAGCCTCATATATGGCTGCCATTAGTCCATCTATGCCAGGAAATGATAATGTATGTAAACATGATCATATTTGGCCCACTGAAGGTAGCACTGATAGCTTGTAAGAGAGCCACTGTGGTGTAGTGGTTAAGAGCAGTGGACTCGTAATCTGGTGAACCGGGTTCGCTTCCCCGCTCCTCCACATGCAGCTGCTGGGTCACCTTGGGCTAGTCACACTTCTCTGAAGTCTCTCAGCCTCACTCACCTCACAGAGTGTTTGTTGTGAGAGAGGAAGGGAAAGGAGATTGTTAGCCGCTTTGAGACTCCTTAGGGTAGTGATAAAGCAGGATATCAAATCCAAACTCCTCTTCTTCATAAGGGGGAAATGGCATCTTAATTTGGCCAAGCATCCAGCCTTGCAAAACTGAAATAGCAGGGAATAATGCAAAAGGCATATCAGCTATCATAATGCCTTTATCACACTTTGGGAACTTCCCTGGCTGTAAGGGTAAGTTATGCTAAGTTATGCAGTGTAACATACATTTTGGTAATAGCATGTGGCTGGCGTGCTCTGGTCCATGGGGTCACGAAGAGTAGAACATGACTAAACGACTAAACAACAAATGTGGCTGACACAATTATTGATATTCTGTATATGAAAACATTGTCAATACTGATGTGTATGGCAGATCAATTGTTACCCTTTATATTCCACATGTATCTATCTCAAACTAATATGAAATATATTTTGCCTTTTCAGGTGGAAATAAAGATAACATCAGAGCAGGGTGCAAGAAATGTGGCTATCGTAAGTATCTACAAAAATGAAGATATAATTAAATGTTTCCTAATATTTACCACAAGGGACGCAGGTGGCGCTGTGGGTTAAAGCCTCAGCGCCTAGGACTTGCCGATCGAAAGGTCGGCGGTTCGAATCCCTGCGACGGGGTGCGCTCCCGTTGTTCGGTCCCAGCGCCTGCCAACCTAGCAGTTCGAAAGCACCTTCGGGTGCAAGTAGATAAATAGGGACCGCTTACCAGCGGGAAGGTAAACGGCGTTCCGTGTGCTGCGCTGGCTCGCCAGATGCAGCTTGTCACGCTGGCCACGTGACCCGGAAGTGTCTTCGGACAGCGCTGGCCCTCGGCCTCTTGAGTGAGATGGGCGCACAACCCTAGAGTCTGTCAAGACTGGCCCGTACGGGCAGGGGTACCTTTACCTTTAATATTTACCACAAACATCACTAGTTTGTTGTACTCAGGCAATGCCATTATCAGTGTATAGTAATTGAGTAGGAGCATATTTAATCTATAGCAAAAGACACTGATTTGGATCCTGAGAACTGTGAACAGAAGAAAGGAACGAACACACACACACACACACACACACACACACACACAGAGTGAATTGCTACACAAAGAAAAGCTGTCTTATGAAAAGATCCATTTCATGAAAGAAACCCATTTTTCCTCAGAAATGGGATCTCTTACCAAGCATTGCAAGTATTTGTCAGTAATAGTGAGATCCTGCCTGGAACTACAACTGGCCTATGCTCTTAAATGATTTGTTACTGCTGGATGTATTATGGGTTTGGTTTTTGGTTTTGTTTTACATTCTAAGTTCAGCTCGGGGGCTATGCCCAAAAAGATGAATTCATCCACATGCATACATAACACACAAAGATGACTATGCCCAGAGGCTTTCCTCATGAAATTTTTAGAACCGAGTGGTGGAATGCTATCTTTATGTGCACATTATAACATGCATTGTATGCATACACACTTCACTGCTTACGAGTCACATTTCGTGACAGTTGAAAGCCCACACAGGGTGGGAGAAAATCCATAGGCTGGGGGATTTGATAGTGCTAATGCAAGAGAGGGGGAAATATTTTAAGCATGCAAAGCATTTTGTTCACTGCTGATCAGACTTCTACTGTAGTATTTTAAATCACAGTTATTGTTAATAATTTTAACTCTCAAACTACACAGTTGTTTTAGGTTTGTTTGTGGAAATGCGGCACAGAGCTGCATAGTTTTGCAGAAGCAGCACTAAGGAAGGAGGAGTGATTAGCCCTTTCCTTTTGGGAGTTTTTGCAATTAAAATCCACCCACCCACAAAAGCCCCCATTTCTCTTCTCCTGACCCCATTAAGGCATTAATCATTCCTCCCCCAGGCACAGCTGCAACAGTCAACTTCACACACATCCCAGATATATTTTCCAAACCCCTGCACAAACACCCCCCCCCCAAAAAAAATCCAACATGTCAGTAGGTTGGATAATAACAGCGGGCTACCGCTGCACAATTCTCAGCACCTCTCAGCAATATGGGTATAACAGCATCGGGCTACGATGCAGGATTTATACAACCCATGCACTTTCAGCCACAGAACCACCCTTCATCCCACCAATATTGGTATAATAGCACTTACATTTGTATTGGAAAAATTGGGTGGTGCCAGCAAGTGTGGGGAGAGTTCCATTAAGCCTGCAGAGGTCATTCTGTTGGATACAACCCTTGCTTTTTCTTTTAAATGAAAGCTGAGAATCTGGATCAGTAAATGGTGCAAACAGACACTGCATAGTGCGGCAAGAATCCTAGTAAAATATGGCTGACCAAGCAATATGTTCCCCCAGCCTAGAATGCTGATGGGTCGGGACCTTAACCAGGCTATGTTTCTGACAAAAGTCATTGGAACAACATTATCATTTTCATTGCTTTTTAAGAATAAAATGTTTGTTACACATAGTGGCAGGAAGAGTATAATACAATCCCAGCAACCTCTTGCTAATTATTTTGTTGGCTTTTCCTCTCCCCCCCCCATTCCTTAATTATATGCAGCTGGTCACCTGACATTTGAATGCCGAAACTTTCTTCGGGTGGACCCTAAAAGAGACATAGTTTTAGATGTCAGCAGCACAAGCAGTGAGGACAGCGAAGAAGAGGAGCTGGGAAAGCTGCAGGCCATTCCAGAAAAAAAGGGTAAGGTGCTTTTTAAAAAAGTGTGTCCTTGTGTAATATATCTATATCTCCCGTCTTCCTTGTCTTAGAACAGTCTTCCACCCTACCTAAGTATCTGGTTGCTTATGTGTTACTAGAATAGCAACCAAGCAAAAGAATGATCCTTTTTAAATTTTGCAGTCATGCAGAACTAAAAGCTGCCCAGTTCTAGGTGTAAATAACATTTTGAGATCTTCTGGGAAGGCTCCCCTTAGAGCTCCATCCTTGGACCTTCTCTGTAGTGGTGCCCAGTTTATGGAATGCCCTTGCCTCTAAGATTCTCCTAGTGACAGCCTTCTTTTCATTGTGCCTTCAGGTTAGAGTTATTTAACTCAAGGTTTTAGTAATTGTTAATCTCACTGCTTAATTTGCAACGGCCATTTATTGCGTTTTAAGATTACTTCCTGTTTTATCACCCATTCCTGATTGTACATGGATTTGTTAGTTTTAATTATCCTGAAAGCTTTGCCTGGATTATCTTTGCTTACATAAGTGGACATGTTCATGGATAATAAGGTGTTCAGTGAGTACTAGCAACAATACCTATGTTCTTCCTCCACAGTTGGAGGCAGCAATGCTTCTGAACACCTGTTGCTAGAAACCACAGGAGGGGAGAGTGCTTTGGGCTTGATTCTTGTTTGTGGGTTTCCTACAGGCGTCTGGTTGACCACTGTGAGAACAGGATGCTGGACTAGATGGGCCATTGGCCTGATCCAGCAGACTGTTCTTATGTTCTTACCTCTTAAAGGGTTATAACAATTAAAGTAATTTGGAGGGGTAACATCTTACTTTGTTAACTCACAGGAACTTCTGCGGAAGAAGAAAAGAAAAAGACCAAAAAGAAAGGCAAAGAGAAATCAAAATTAAAGAAAGCAAGGAAAAGGTATAATTTTGAAAGCTTTGTATCTGCATAACAGGGAGAAGCTTGAAACATATTGTGCTCAGATTGTCTTCAAATCTGAATCTCTGCATGTAATGACACCATTTAAAGATGGGTGGAAAACCATTTGGGCTTTTTTTTTCTAATCCAAGATTTTGTATGTTCAAAAAGTTTTTTATAATAGAAACAGAAATTTAATTTCTTTTCAAAGTGAATTGCTGTTGCTACTAAATCCTGCACGAATCTCTGCAAGTAAAAGCATATATTGGGTGGAGTGAGGATGCAATCAAGGCAGCAAAGTAGGCCTTCTTTGTTGCCTTCACTGCCACTAGTTAGGTATGGGCCCTATCAGTGTTCAATTGCATTCTACTGGAGTTTTCCTCCACTCGTGTTTGAGCTGTCTTCCAGCTTGTTTCCTCGCCTTAAGCATACCAGGGAGTCAAACAGGTTCTGCAAAGTGCGAGAGAGCACTTGGGGTTATTGTGTCAATGTCCCAAGCCATTCGGATGCTCCAGAGATCAGCTGGGATGGTGACGCTGCACCTGCTTCTAATGGCTGGTGGTTGTGGAATGCTTTGCCAGGCAGATCCACCAGAAGAGACACCTTCCATTCCTTTGCTCATTGAAACCTTGCTTCATGCAGTGCAGATGGCCCTTTTCTCACTGGTTTTCACTGGTCATTGGAGGAGTACCTCCGGAAAAAAACTTTTATGCTCTCCCAAAGTTTTCCCCACAGGTTTCCTCTCACAGACATTGGCCTGGGCGACATATCAATATATTGCCTAGGACCAGTATGAGAGGCTGATGGCAAAGACAGCTTTACTCAGCACTATATCGCAGGTGAAACCGCTGCCATTCCTGAGTCCCACTGCCTCCAGGAAAAAACAAGCTGCAGTCGCGAGATGGAGGCAGAGGGACGCAGGAGCAGTGGCGGTTTCACCAGTGATTTACCACTGAGTGAAACTGCCATCGCCCTCTACTGCATGTCCCTCAATGGAGAAGTTTAAAGGAGCCCCCACTTCACCTCCAGCTTGGGCAAGCCGGCAGCCAGGTGTGGGCTCTGGGTGGAGACAGCTTAGCTTGGCTACTGCATGGCTGCATCTTTCCAGAGGAAAGACCGAGCCCACCCTCCTGGTCCAAGGCTGCCAGGTGGTGCACGAGTTCTCTGATGCTTTTGCCGGGCCCAGCACTCACCAGCAGCCTCAGGCAGCCCCGCTCCGCAAGGCACCTTGTGGACTTTGTTGGGAGGGTGGCTGTGTCTTTGCTCCTGGGGTGAACGACCACCCCACAAGGAAAGAGATCAAAAGCACGGAGCCCGACAGGCTTGGTTACCGTTACCTGGTCTATCTTCTGGGAGTGGGGGGCGAGGTAGCTTGCCCACCCCCTGCTCCTGTGAAGGCAGCCTCACAAAGGCACCCTGTGGTCCCGCTAACTAGCAGGGACATTGGGGCTCACTCAGCTGGGTGCAGGAGCCTTTCCATCTCCCAGCTGAGCAGCAGGCTGGGGCCAGCTGTACAGTGGTACCTCAGGTTACATACTGTCAGAGCTGCTTCCAGATCCTAGCTCACAGAGGATCACGCTAGCCAGCGGTCACTTGTAAAAGTCTTTTATTGAGTTACAGTTTCCATTCTCAAGCTGCTGCGTGCAACTCTACGTCTTATGGCTAGACCGGCGAAGCTCCGTCTGAGTCTCCGCCCCCTGTACACCAACTTAATATCCTAGCCCTGTCCCACCTTTTCCGCCTGACTGTTCTTCTCTGGGTCCCTCTGCCCCCCGTGGTCTCTTCCTTCCTGGACTCTTCTGACGCTGACCCCCCGGACCCTCCTGTCTCCTTGCGCCGGGCTTTAGGACCTGGCTCCCTTTCCGGGCTGCCTACTGCGCCACCTTCCTGTGCATTTGAACTTGGCGCGCGCGCCCAACCTTCCACCTTCCGTCTAACCGTTTCTTCGCTCCCTGATGGAGGTGTGGCCACTCCTGACTCGTGCCCTCCCCCCTGTTGTGAGCTGCCAGCGCTTGATCCCTGGCGCCCTTCCTCTTCCCTGCTCTCTGGCGGTGACGCTGGTCCCGATTTCCAGCTGCTCTCCTCTGAGTCCCCTCTGGCTCTATCTTCCTGGGGTCTCCCCCTAGTCTCCCCCCTTGCCCTGGCCACTGGTGCTCCTTTCTGTGAATCTTCTGATTCACTGGAAAGACTCGGAGATCTCGGGTCGTCGTCATCACTCATCTTTTCTTCTGCCTCCTCCCCCTCGCTGTTTCCTCCCTTGCCCTTGCCTCTGCTCCTGAACCCCTGACACATACGCTTCAGGTTACAGACTCCGCTAACCGAGAAATAGTGCTTCAGGTTAAGAACTTTGCTTCAGGATGAGAACAGAAATCGTGCTCCGGCGGCGCGGTGGCAGCAGGAGGCCCCATTAGCTAAAATGGTGCTTCAGGTTAAGAACAGTTTCAGGTTAAGTACGGACCACCAGAACGAATTAAGTACTTAACCTGAGGTACCACTGTATTGGCCACAGCCTCCAAGGCACTGGGGTGAAAGCGCCTCAGCTCCCATAATGAGAGCTGCGGCAGTTTCACCTGGCATCTTGCCGGCTGGGGCCAACCCAGCTTCTTTCAACATCACGGTTTATTGCCAAACTGTGATGTTTGGCTGGTGATACATTGTAATGTCGAGAACCCAATATTGCCCAGCCCTAGTGTTCAGGGTCCTCCGGTGTTTAGAACAATAGAGCTTAGGATAAAAGTCCCTTTGTGGTGTATTTACCAAGTTAATTCTTTTTAGTTAAAGATCTCTCAGATTCCAGTATTTCACTATAGGGCATTGGTGTATAACTGAACAAATCAATGTTCTTGTGTTTAAAGGTCTTGTTCCTCAAGTGCCACAGAAGAGGATGAGCCTAAATCAAAAAAGCAGAAATCCCACAAAAAGGAAAAGAAGGAGAAAAAGAGTAAATCCAAGAAAAGAAAACATCACAAAAAGGGGAAAAAGAAGAGAAAAAAGGAGAAAGATTCTTCATCTTCTGATAGCTCAGACTCTTCCAGTAGTGACTGAGGACCAAACCTAGGGATGTAGTCCTGATTAGGAGTATAATGATGCCCAGTTAAAATATGTATATTTTTATTGAAAAAGCCTGTTATTTATAAATATTTCACCTTACAATAAAGTTTTTTTTGTTTTTTTTGTTTTTTTGGAAATTCAGAGAGATTTATTTCCCGCTAAGCATTACAACTGTTTTATCTGAACATCATATTGGATAAGGAACTAGTTTTACTTCCTTATTGTTCAATGTCTTTACAATCAATTGAAAATATTTGAGTTGATCTGTGGGACATTATGGTTAGTTTTGAAACTTTTGTAACATTCATCAATGCCCTCAAACTTCTGTAAGAACTTGTAAGGAAATTAAAGCATTCTTATGAATGTTATAAACATTTCAAATTAGCCACAAGTTATTAGCAATATAGGATTGTCATTCCTGAACTGCAACCCTCTCCACATAATGTAAAACTGCACCTAAAAGAATCAGCATAAACAGAGGAATTTTTTGTCAAGCCTCTTATACATTGCACCCTGTGGTTTAGGAGAGCTTAAGTCTGCATGTAAACCGTGGGTGCATCTTTGGATCAAGACCTATGTTTGTGTAGTAATACAGGAATCACTCACGAATGGAATTACATAAGATAAAACATAAAAGCCATGCTCTCCATTCCTATTAGAAGGTATGCTTTTAAGTACATACCAGTGTTTATTTTTCTAATGCAGGGGTAGGGAATGTGCTGCCCTCCAGATGTTGGATTACAGCTCCATCATCCCTAACCACTGGTTTGGGCTGCTGGGAGTTAGTCCAATAACTTATGGAGCGGGGGGGCGGGCACCACATTGGCTACCCCACCCTAATGCATCTGAACTGGGATAAAAATTATCAAATGATTCTGTGAGGCTGATTTGTCTTTCTCCATGTTGCAGCAACATTTGCTGCTATTGCAGCAAATCAATAGTACACATGAAAAAGTAGCTTGTGGGTCATTGACAACTGTATTTAAATGAATACTCTGCAGCACTTGTTGCAGGAAAAACACAACACAAGAAGTTCAAAGCTAATTTGATCAGGAAGGCTTTCTCTTAGTTGGTTAAATCTTTACTCAGTCATGAGTGTACTTATTAATGTATTTATTAACCAGAAAGCAAATGTCATATAGCACAGTTTTTGGTTAGCAGAACTTTGGTCCGGAATACAGTATGGAGAATAGTGCTACATGAGTACTAACTTGTCATTAAAGGAAGCAGCTTCTGTGATTACTAATATGGCATTAAACATGAATGGTACAGTAAGCCAATAGTGATTCTATGATAAGGAAATAGGAGTCAGAGCCACACTTAGTCATTCATGAAGTAGACCTGTTTAAATTTATAGAACTTGCATTAGTCATAGCTAACAAGCCCCATGGATTTCAGTGGGCCTACTCTCTGCATGATTACATCTGAATCCAATCCAAGCCTGAGTCAGGTTCCACTGAATAAATTACAAGTCATACACATGAAGGAAGAAGTATATCACAATTTTTCTAGTTTTTGTTGTCGTTTGGTCGTGTCCGACTCTTTGTAACCCCATGGACCAGAGCATGCCAGACATTCCTGCCTTCCACTGCCTCCCGCAGTTTGGTCAAACTCATGTTAGTAGTTTCAAGAACACTGTCCAACCATCTCATCCTCTGTTGTCCCCTTCTCCTTGTGCCCTCAATCTTTCCCGACATCAGGGTCTTTTCCAGGGAGTCTTCTCTTCTCATGTGGTGGCCAAAGTATTGGAGCCTCAGCTTCAGGATCTGTCCTTCCAGTGAGCACTCAGGGCTGATTTCCTTAAGAATGGATAGGTTTGATCTTCTTGCAGTCCATGAGACTCTCAAGAGTCTCCTCCAGCACCATAATTCAAAAGCATCCATTCTTCGGCAATTAGCCGCCTTTATGTTCCAGCTCTCACTTCCATACATCACTACTGGGAAAACCATAGCTTTAACTATAACGACCTTTGTCGGCAAGGTGATGTCTCTGCCCCCCCCCAATTTAGTTCAGCTCAAAACAGGATGCTGTTCCAACCCAATGCACAACTTTAATGTCTGGCGTACACTGAAGTCCTAGAGAGTCAGCCCAATATAAGATGCCCAACAAATTAAAACTTTCTAAGAACTTTAGGGGTAGTGGTGGTTACATATACTCTTCGATCAATAAAAGGATTCAAGGGTATAACAATATGACCTGTTATATAAAAGCAGAGAACATGATCAAGTTAGCAATATTAAGTCCCACTGATTTCAACAGGAAGATGTGAAAGACTGAAAGTGAAAATGCTGAACTTTGTCAGGATCATGCCCATAAACAAACACAAAACTTAACATTTTTAATGCTTTAGGGAGCAACTGAAAAACAATTTAGTTGTCAAACTGTTGACAAGGAATCTGGTGATGGCGTTAATTTAAGTGTAGATAGAAGGCAGGTGCCAAATCATATTTCAGAGTAAGTTTCCAGCAGGATGCATTTGTATTAAGTGCAAACGTAAGCAAAATTTATGGGCTACTGAACTGTTAACTCATTCTCTACAAAGGCGCTTCATCAGCATGATATTGTCTTGCATGTCAGTCAAACAAAGGCTGAAACAAAACCTCTCAAGCAACTTTCAAAGTTGCACAGCCAATATGGAAAATCTCTATGCTTCTTTTGGGTAACACTGCTTGATCATTGTCCTTATTTCTCATAGAATCATAGAGTTGGAAGCGACCTTAAGGAATATGCAGCTGTCCTTTACGGGGATCGAACCTGCAACCTTGGGTATTGTCAGCACCACACTCTAGCCAATGGAGCTATCCATATATTTTATATCCCACCTATCTCCCATTGTAGGACCCAAGGTGGCTCACATCATAAATTAAATCAGATACAACTAAGCCACATTATAAATATAAATACAGTCATACCTCGGGTTAAAGTTGCTTCAGGTTGAGTGTTTTTGGCTTGCACTCCGCAGCGACCCAGAAGTAATGGAACGTGCATGCGCAGACGCTCAAAATGACGTCATGCGCAGAAGCAGCAAATCGCGACCCGCGCACGTGCAGACGCGGGTTGGATTCTCTTCAGGATGCGAATTGGTCTCCGGAATGGATCCCGTTCGCATCCAGAGGTACCACTGTATATATATATATTTAAAAAAATAAGTAGCCCCATTAAAAACATAACAGAAAAACATGGTAAAACATTTAACAGCAAAAAAAGAGAATAACACCCACCCTTAGAAGACCAACAACAGCCAGTTAGTGGACAAAGGTCTACTCTATTTGAACAAAAAAGTATTTGTTTGCCAGTGAAAGGAAGGCAGAAACGTTGGGGCTGAAAGCCTAAACATACTTACTAGAAAGTAAGTTCATTTGAACTGAGTATCATTTATTACCACATTTAGCATAGTACTGCACATGTATTCTCTATCAAAACTACAGTTGTCCTTAGTTTTAATATATTAGCTTTTAAAAAATTAAGTGTTAAATTTCCATAAAGGAAATTGAGGAAGCGGGAAGAATATTTACAGTTTAATAATAAAAAAGGTGAACACTGTTAGACAGAAAAACCATCTTTAAATTTTGATTCCCTCCTCCAAGTTCAATTATAGGAATGCACAACAGCCAAAATGCCTTCAAAAAATAAACCAGGGTCCCTTCAATTTCAGCCTTGGTGATTAAAATTTGCCCCACTGATAAATCAACTAAAACCTTGACTTTTTGATTAAGCTGATGTGAACTTGTAGCTCTGTTTAAGACTAAGTATTGTGCAGTACCATCTTATGTCTGTTTAAAGGTAAAGGGACCCCTGACCACTAGGTCCAGTCGTGACCGACTCTGGGGTTGCGGCGCTCATCTCGCTTTATTGCCTGAGGGAGCCAGCATACAGCTTCCGGGTCATGTGGTCAGCATGACTAAGCCGCTTCTGGCGAACCAGAGCAGCGCACGGAAACGCCGTTTACCTTCCTGCCGGAGCGGTACCTATTTATCTACTTGCACTTTGAAGTGCTTTCAAACTGCTAGGTTGGCAGGAGCAGGGACCGAGCAACGGGAGCTCACCCCGTTGTGGGGATTCGAACCGCCGACCTTCTGATCGGCAAGTCCTAGGCTCTGTGGTTTAACCCACAGCACCACCCACATCCCTTGTGTGTTTACTCTGAACTAAATCCCCATAATTTCAGTACGAATTTCTGCAAGGTCAGCATAAGCAGGATTGCCTTAGATTAATATATTCATTCAACAGTTTAGTTCTACAAAATTGAATAATGGTGGTAGTCCATATTGCCAATTAATTCAACCATGTAAATTGCTACTGGGAGAAATTTTATACATAAACTGATTGTGCTTCAATAGTAGTGAATGGGTGATAAAAAATAAAATCCAGCTACTATGGCCAAGTTATAAATACAGTATATATGAATATACAATCAATAACACACACATACTATAATGAAAAATTTTTATGGCATTGCTTGGAGATTCTAATCTGTGGAGGTTTATAGCACAATATATTTAAGGTACTACGATGTTTTCTTGTTTTAGTTACAGTAGCAGATAAACATCTACCTCTCTGGAAAATAAATTCCACAATGTCTTAGTCATTACAAATGATTATGCTACTTTTAAAAGTCATTTGGTTGTTACATCTTAATAAGATTGGCTTGCTTGGATCCCTGAAACCTTTCCCTGAATTAATTCTTCAGGTTAAATATATTTTTGTTCAGCTGAATTCCAAGCTACATTTGAGCAGTTGGTTTTTCCCCCCTGATGGCATTGTCTTAATTGGAACAAAATATGGAGAGGAAATTAATACTTTTTTGAGGCAGAGGATGGGGGGGACACTTAGGAAAAAAAGTAATTTTAGCAGGAAATAAAACACAAGGATGAGAATAGTTTCAAACTTTAACAGGATTTTGGACTCAAAGTGTTCACATATTTGATTTATATAATTTGCATTAAAGTGATAATGGCTGTGTTTAGCTTTCATACTTCCCCTGCACTTTTACAGTGGTGTTGTTGTTGTTGTTTAGTCGTTTAGTCGTGTCCGACCCTTCGTGACCCCATGGACCAGAGCACGCCAGGCACCTCTGTCCTCCACTACCTCCCGCAGTTTGGTCAA